GGCAAAACTGTTACTACAGATATGCCACAATCTAGCAGGAAGTGCTTCTCTGACAAAAACCTAACACAAAGAGAGACTGAAATGCTACATGTTCCTTATAGCCAGGGACATCCACAAAAGAAACTATCAGCAGTACCGTATTGAATTTAAATAAGGTCTTCATCCACCGTTCATTTCAAACCTTTGCTCGCTTCTGTCGACGGCCGACCCAGTGCGCTGACACTAAAATAACCCAGAAAAATATGTTGACGCCACTTTAATTAGCAGAGATAAAGGGAATGGACACATAGTGGCCTAGATTCTTAATGAGATGTCATAGGTGTGAGCTTCTATTTCCCATCATTCCTTAGTGCACTGATGCCAACCAGGATCAGACATGCTGAAGTACGGTATTGTGGATATAACGTACCATTCGCAGCAAGGGGGTATTTAGGGTGAATATCTAACATTTTCCCAGAAGGCCTTTCACTGGGCCTCTGAGAATGTTGTGACTGCAGGATTAACACTGACCTCACATTCCAACACAGCTATTGTCAATCATTAGAAATGACTTTCTGCTGTCTGTTAGACGGATTCTCTCTCTCTCTCTCAAGCACACACCTTGAGGGGAAATGAGGAATGTCACAGTGTAGCACAGCACCTCTCTCGGCAGTTTTGACACAGCATCTTCCTAACATCTAAATCCACAACACACATCACAGGCTCTCCTGGGTTTAGCACCCCTAATGAGAAAACCAATCACCGTTCATTTCAAACCTTTGCTCGCTTCTGTCGACGGCCGACCCAGTGCGCTGACACTAAAATAACCCAGAAAAATATGTTGACGCCACTTTAATTAGCAGAGATAAAGGGAATGGACACATAGTGGCCTAGATTCTTAATGAGATGTCATAGGTGTGAGCTTCTATTTCCCATCATTCCTTAGTGCACTGATGCCAACCAGGATCAGACATGCTGAAGTACGGTATTGTGGATATAACGTACCATTCGCAGCAAGGGGGTATTTAGGGTGAATATCTAACATTTTCCCAGAAGGCCTTTCACTGGGCCTCTGAGAATGTTGTGACTGCAGGATTAACACTGACCTCACATTCCAACACAGCTATTGTCAATCATTAGAAATGACTTTCTGCTGTCTGTTAGACGGATTCTCTCTCTCTCTCTCTCAAGCACACACCTTGAGGGGAAATGAGGAATGTCACAGTGTAGCACAGCATCTCTCTCGGCAGTTTTGACACAGCATCTTCCTAACATCTAAATCCACAACACACATCACAGGCTCTCCTGGGTTTAGCACCCCTAATGAGAAAACCAATTTGTCAGGTTTTTAACACATTTGAGAGGCTAATTACTTCGTAGGAAGGGATCGTACTGTTTTATTCTCTCTGATCATCTCTAAATGGGCTGGTGCATAAACCAGTAAATTAAATTAACAGGGATCTGATATGTAGACGTGTCCACGGACTACAACGCATCTGTTCGCAGCGTCGGAGCTTGTCACTGAATCTGCTGGAGATTAGAGCTGCCTCGTAAGCACAGTTGCTATAATCCGTGCAGCTTTCTCGGTCTTCAAAAACCGGGCCACATTGTTGAGAAACTGGGAAAGTAAGCAAATTTAATCTGCAATTCAGAGACAAATGATTACAGGACAAATTGGAATATATGGAATGGGTGACGATGCCTAATCTTGTTGGTTACAAGTGCATTAAAAAGTACACACATGGCTTGATCTACTCATATAATCAGCACACACTAAAATGGAAATTAGCAAATGCAATTTCAGCAATAAGATCACTTATTTGTTTTTAATCAATACCATTCTCAATCACTGATGGATTTAGCAAAAACAATCTGCATGTTCTAACAGGAAGTACTTTTTTTAGCACTTCATAACGCAGACTTAAGCCACATTTAATACATGGCCATAACAGGGATGTGCGTTCTATATTAAAATATACTGTAAATGATCTTAAGGAAACTGAATAATTAGAACAGACATGTTTGTTAGGGGGTTCACATAAGACGTCTTGTGTTCAGAAATTGCTGGACAGAGCACAACGGAATGGAACTATTTTAAACTTGACACAATATTAAACTCGGTGCTCATGGAGCAAGATACTATAAAAACACACATACACACAAAATGTGATTTTAAAGACATAACTTATCCGAGAGGGTTTTACTTTACAAGCTACAATTAGTGTTTTATCAGCTTCCATAATCTACACCTGCATTTGTCTCCACCTTCCTCTATGTCTGTTTAGCAGTAGGGTACTAGCATCACAGCTTACAGAGAGCGATTTGTTCCACACTTCTTGAAACAATCAATTTTAACTGTCATTTCAGAAAGATTCATCAGCCCTCCTATGACTTCTGCTCCAACTGAGTGAAACGCTTGACTTCTAAAGTTACTGATCTTTTGCGGAGCTGTAAATGTATAAAACCAGATAAAACTGAATTTGACAGTGGGTCATGGTGTGAAGCTCTAAACCTGAATTTTATGCTAAGTCAAATTCAAAAAGATATGGATTTGTAGATATGTGTGGCTCTCTGTGTGTTTTATAGGTCACAGTTAATACGTCAGCACTTTAATGAACAAAGTCAGGGTGTCCCTCCTGCGAAGTGGTACACAGAGGACAGGGGTATGAGAAAGAAACTGTTTGACCAGTATCTGGTATCCCTTTTCCACAAAACTGATGCTAGTGCTTATGCTGGGACAGTTTTATACCTAGATGTGCAAGTATATTTAAAAAACACAAAGATAATCTTTATTCCATCACAAGCTGTTTTGATGTAACAATCATAATTATTTAAATATGCAGTGAATAACAGAAATCAATTTACACACATAATATTCATATTGTAATTAAGGATGCACTGATATAAAATTTCTGACCAATAACCAATAAATGACAGATATTACAAAACAATAAGATATAACAAAATAAAATAAGCACTAAATTATCAGATATTAATAAATTAAAAAATCCGCATGACAGCAGAAATGATGTGTGTGATGCCAAGGGTACGTGAAAAGACGAGTGAGACCGGGGTGGAAGAACTGTGGGAAGCGATCCGCATGCAAAAGTGAGGCTCGATTCTTATCTTTTTCCTTCCATTACGTTCCTGCCTTAATCCTCTCACTCGCTACTACCTTCATTACCAGCCCACCTTCAACTCAAATCTCTCTCTCTGTGTCTCTCCCTTGTCTCTCGATGGGAGTTGAAAAGTTCACAGGGCCTTTGAGCTGAATCTCTCAATCACCCCCATCTAACCCTGGCCTCTGAGGCAGTGTGTGTGCGTGTACCCGCCGTTCATGCACTCTCCCTGAGTCTGATGATCATTCAAATGCTGTGTGTGGAACTGATTCCTTGAGCAAGGCTGAAAATTTCAATTTGGTCTCTGCAAGCGGGAACCGTTCGGCTGTGGCAACTCTTCAGGGCCCGAGCCAGGATTACAGATTCTCGCGGTAATGTGCTAGCTGCCTCTCAAGGTAGGTAAAAATCAATATCGCAGATGTTTATAAAACAGAGAGCCTCTTTCGGAGAGCTCTACTGCCCCCCGCCCTTTTCTATGCCCTAACCAATCAAATCCTTTCCACAATGAGTCGAGGGGAAACAGACTGTGACCTCGTGTTTTATGATGTATTTAATAAGACAATTTCATGCCTCTAAATGAGCCCAAGATATCCTTCATTAAAGAGATGGACGGTTTGTCATTTAATCCAGTTTAGCTTGGCATGATAAAGGGCATTACAGTCAATCTGTCACACACAGAACCAGCTGGAAAACCATGTTTAAGAGGAGCTTTATCTGTACAGCAAAACTTGGATGGATGGATCAGCCAAAAATGAAAATTGTCATCATTTACTCACCCCTGTGCCATGATCACATGCACGTTACTACAGCAAGTCAGTAAAAGCGTCAAAAACTTGCAGCAGGAAGTGTCACCTCAAAATCACTCTAGTATTTATGCGAACTGATTCAAACTTGTCAAGACATGGGAAAGATTTCAGTTTTGTATAAAAGACCAAAAGTGTTGTGTAACTATTAATGAAACAAATTAGTAGAGCAAACACAGGCCTCTTGAGAGCCTGAGCATGGTTTGTGTGTGTGTTTATGGCAAAGGAGGATATACACGGTGAGGATGACTTTGATCTCAGGGGTGCTTAAGGTCAGAGCGAAAATTTAGAGAGAGCATGTAGCAATTTACTCATCTCCCACCCACACACTCTGTTCAGAATGACTCACACACACTCAGTCGGCTGTGTATGTTTGTTTTCTTTGACTAGTGTGTGTGTGTGTGTGTGTGTACTTGTGTGGAGGGTTTAATGCCTCCTCTCTCAAACAGAACAAAAGAGATACGAGCATAAAGGAGGGGAAAAAATCCCCAAACAAGAGGCGAAATGTGGGGGTTCTGGCCTAGAGAGAGATGGAAAAAACCCTGCACAAAGAAACAGGAGAAAGCGAGCGCCTGAGAGCAGTCGGAGAATGCCAAGGACTCAGTGTCCCGCTCTGAAATGAAGCGAGAGGCACATGGCTGGGCTGAACGGCTGCTTCTGGCCAGGTTTCAGCGGGTCGAAGCCTTTCCACCATGTCGCCTGATAGGGAACAGGCTCTTGCAGCTGTCCAGCCATTCTGTTCCCTGCAGGCAAAACAGCCTGAAGCCAGAGACCCTGACTTAAGCGCCCCCATCCCCTGCGGCAATCGACGGAGGAGCAGAGAATAGAAAGGTTGAATGGAGCGGAAATATGTGGGAAGCAGGTGAAGCCAGGGGTCAGGGGTGGGATTAAAATCCGGCCCATATGCACAAAGATGTCACACCTAGAACAGGAAGCAGCATAAAGGATTTTGCTAAATCCAACACCGTTGCGTTATATCAAAGCACAAGCCTCGGGCAGGTCTTCGGAGAAGATCTCAGGGGTCAAAACATTTGTAACAAATCACTTTCCACTAGGCACAAGTACGTTCGGTACGTTTAAACGCATGTTTGCAACTTACTGCAGGCACCAGTAGCTTCTTGACCTCTTCGACAGCTCTTCTCATCTTGACCTCAGCACGTGTCTGTGTGTCCTCCACTGTGATCAGCACGTGCAGGTCTCCTCATGAGAAATGGAGACAACGAGAGAGAGAGAGAGAGAGAATGTTAGTAGTGGAGACAGGATTTTTTACATTTTCACACATTTTCTTGGCATAGATGACAGCCGGCACTCTGATGCAGTCTCACAGTGAGTTAAAGACGGCTGTTCTTCAAACAGCAGCTATTACCCCAGAGCACATTAACATGCGTTGGGAGTAGAATATTCACCACTACATTTACAATTAGTCAGTTAGCTGCTACATGCAGAAAAATTACTGTAAAAATGACAATTTCTGGTAACTAGTAGTTTTGCCACTAATTTTAGGTACGGTAATATGCTGCTTAGCACACACTGTATAATGGATTTTCATGAGCAAGAAAAAAATAAAT